CAGTGGTGGGTGGGGGCCCTAAATATCAATAAGGGGGGGTCCTATTGTCCTTCCTCCTGGCACCCACCCCTGAGCGGCAGGTGGGGGCCCTAAAGTAAAATAATGGGGGGGAGGCCTATTGTTCTCCCCCTGGCACCCCCCCATTAATGGTGGGTGGGGGCCTTAAATTAGAATAAAGGGGGGACCTATTGTCCTCCCACCTGGCCCCCACCCCTGAGCGGTGGGTTGGGGATCTAAATTAGAATAAGGGGGGACCTATTGTCCTCCCCCCAGGCCCCCACTCCTCAGTGGTGGGTGGGGGCCCTAAATATCAATAAGGGGGGGTCCTATTGTCCTTCCTCCTGGCACCCACCCCTGAGCGGCAGGTGGGGGCCCTAAAGTAAAATAACCTATTGTTCTCCCCTTGGCACCTATTGTTCTCCCCTTGGCACCCCCCCATTAATGGTGGGTGGGGGCCTTAAATTAGAATAAGGGGGGTACTATTGTCCTCCCCCCCGGCCCCCACCCCTGAGTGGTGGGTGGGGGCCCTAAATATCAATAAGGGGTGCTGACAGGGGTGGGGGCCCTAAATAAAAATTTAACCCCACCCCAGGTGACTAGGGGTCCCCAAACTAGTCACCCCCTCCCCCAAAAATTAACCCCTACCTACCCTCCTCACCCTAAAAATAATGAGAGGGACCATTAACTAAGTACTTGTAAAAATAAATAAATAAAAATTACCATTTGATGTTTTCCTTTTTCTAAAATCTTCTTTTTTCAGCCCCAAAAAAGGCCAAATAAAAATCCATAATGACCGTCACAAAAGAAAACAAAAAAAACCAACAGAGCGCAAAAAAAAAAAATCCATCTTCACCCATGGAGGGCTCCACGCAGACTGAGCTCTGCAATTAGGCTAAAAACACTCTGATTGGTTGGTTTAATTTGACTCATAACTCTCTGATTGGTAATTAACCAACCAGAGTGTTGTTATGAGTCAAATTACACAGCGTGGGAAAATTCCAAAGAACTTTCCCACGCTGTGTAAAATGACACAGAGCACTCTGATTGGCTGGATTTCAAGCTAACCAATCAGAGTGCTGTGACAGGTAAATATAGAGACTTACCTGCCAGTCTCTTCATTTACCTGTCATAGCACTCTGATCAGATGGCTTAAACCAACCAGACTGCCCGGAGCCTAATTGCAGGGCAGGGCAAGGTGGGCGGGTGTGGGAGCCAGGGGGGAGGACATTAGGTCCCCCCCTTATAAATATTTAGGGCCCCCACCCACCGCTCAGGGATGGGGGCCGGGGGAGGGGGCAATAGGTCCCCCCCATTATTCTTATTTAAGGCCCCCACTCGCCACTCAGGTTCCCCCCTTTTATTAATATTTAGGGCCTCCACCCGCCGCTCAGGAATGGGGGTTGTGGGGGAGGACATTAGGTCCCCCCCATTCAAATTTAGGGCCCCCACTCACCGCTCAGGGGTAGTGGCCGGGGGAGAGGACAATAGGTCCCCCCCTTATTCGTATTAAGGGCCCCCACCCGCCACTCAAGGGTGGGGGCCGGGGGGGAGGACAATAGGTCCCCCCTTTTGTTTACTTTAGGGCCCACCACCTACCGCTCTGGGGGGGGCAATAGGCTCGGGAGGGGGGACACTTTTTTTTTTTAGTAGACATGCTCCTACTCGCGGTATAGCAAGCAGGGGCAAAATGTACTAATACTAAGTAATTTTAACTTAGTATTAGTAACTTTGGCTGAAAGACCAATTTAGGTTTTTCAGCCTTTTGGTAGATAACTCCCTAATACCGTGGGAATTAGGGTGTTATCTACTAAGCGGCTGCAAGAGAAGTCTCGAAATGTCGAAGTTCCGAAGTGTTGAAGTGCCGACGACCCAAAGTTCCAAAGTCCAGAATTGCCGACATCCCAAATTTCGGAATGCCGAACCGAACCGAAAATTTTCCCCATGCACATGCCTACTTTTAAGTGAAAGCTTTCCAATATTAAACTGTTTTTATTGTTTTAATGTTAAACAAGAGTCCCCAGCAGTCCATCCCCTGTATAGTTCTTGGGCTAATAAGTAAGCACTAGCCTGAGTGTCAGCTGACCGTTTTCAGCTTATTGCAGTGCCCACTGGCATTATGGATTGGTACGGCTAGAAGGAAGTGGGTAATCTCTGTTTTAGCCACACCTCTAGTAGGGCGCCAAGGGACCCTTATTCAGTGTTGGTTTAACACAGAGGACTCCAGGTAAGAGGACTCCAGGTACTATAACAAAATCAGTGAGATGGAATAGTGCTTATAGTGTCCTTTTAGAGGGAGTAAGTTGGTAGTTTGGATGTTATACAACTTGTACCTCCAACTGTAGTTCTGGCTATAGCAAGGTCCCTTAGTACCCAGACCTCCTTGGCTCAGGCACACTATCCTGAAAAGGAGATTCTGGGTTTCATGACACCTTGAAGGCACAGAGTCACTTCTAGTTTAGCACACTAGGTAGCTAAAATACATGATACTGTGTAATGTTTATTTACTTTGACTACGCACACCACACAATGCAGATTTTCAAACATTTCTACTCCATTTATTTTCTTTTTAACATACTACTCTTCAGTTAGGCATCTACTAATAGTGAGGCGACCTTGGTTTTACCCAAAAAGAAATCCACCCATTCTCTATTTTGTTCCACGGATAAATTGTTGGAAGATATTACAGGACTCACTCTGGGAACCATTTTGCATGTTCTTTCCAAGGATCATCAGTTTCTAACCAGTTTCCCAAACATCCTGAGCATGAGAAGCACTGGACATGGTCTCTTCTTCCTTTAACCAGATGGTACAATAACATCAAAATAAAATTAGAAAATGCACTACATACATACATAATAACACACATATCTTCTTTGGTGAACAACATTAATATTTGCTTTACAATGAGTCAATTCCTCAGAAGACCTGTTCATAAATGATACTATTAAATTCAACTCTGCTATAATAAGATTAGGGAAGTTCAGGTTAGAGGTGACATTTTAGAGTTGGAGGGTTTAGATTTGGGGTAGTATTCAATGGACTTAGAGTTCAGTTAAATATGTCAATATATAATGCAAAGCTTAAGGACGTCCAGTGTTATAATTAATTAATTGTTTCCTGTCCTGTTCCTGTTGGGGGCGGAGCTAACCCATAAGTGATGCTGCCATGAATTATTGCCAGGAAAAGAAAATTATGGTAAGTATGGAGAAAATTTTCTGTATTTGTTTTCATTTTGCAGTTTTGCTTAGAGATTCTGCAATTAAACTATTGCAATTAAGCACATCAAAAGCAATAGTTAAAGAGAAGGCACTTAGGTTATTGCAAAATATGACACATTTTTATTTGATATTAGAAAACACATAATTCAGAGCGTAATCCCAATATAATCACATTACCTATAAAGAAAAAACCTGCTTGTGCAAGAAGTGCTGGCTCTATCAAGGAGTACACAGGCCAGTTTGTAAAAGACTGTAGTCTCTTCTCTTCACTTTCCATTAAATCTTTATCTAAAAGACCATCATCTGATGGCTGAAGACGGACTTCATATATTGAGATATTACCGGAGTCCACGCTTTGAATGAACCCACAGTTAGGACTGAACTTTCTATGGTTCTCCATTGGGGTTTTGTTTAGAGATTGCTTGCACAGAACCAATCCACAGCAAAAGCATTGAGAACTGTCCTTTAGACCGGTGGCATAAAATCCAGCAGCAGACAATTCTTTAGGTGACCAGGTAGAAATGGGTGCCAG